CTTTTTTCTGGAAAGTCTTGCCTCATCCTCGCTTCCCCTATTCATTCCTCAGGTGTCAGCTCAGACATCACCTCCTCCACCAGGAAGCCTTCCCCAACCTCCACCTCCAGGTTGAGTTTAGTGCCTCTTCTGGGCTTTCACACTCCCGTTGCCCCCCATCATAATACTGCCTCCCTGGGTTCATCACCCCAACCAGGTTATGAATGTCTTGAGGGTACGGACCAGTTCTGTCTTATTATGGTGTCTGGGACACAGCACATTCTCAGTGTTTGTTTGAGTGAACAAATGAATGACTGAATAAAAGTAAATGTCAAATATTGGTTAAAACTCCAGGCTCTTTGTGGCCCTCAGCACCGGGCTGGGCACCCAGTTGGTACTTATGTAAACTTATGAAACGGTCGAAAACCAAGGACAACTCCATAATTTCTGCTAAGAAGAGGCAGCAATCAGGTAGGGGGCGGATGGTCGGGCATTCCCCTTGACAGCACGATGGGAAAGCAAGGATCCCAGGTGTGCTGGGGGAGTTAGCACTGGGAGTATGGGGGAACAGTGGCCTGGGCCAGGGGTCGGCAACCCAGGGTTCATGGGCCAAATCCAGCCATATATTTGCGTGGTCTGTGAGCTAAGAATAATTTTTTATGTTTTCAATGGTTGAAAAATAGGAAAAGAATATTTTCTGGCACATGTGAATTACATTGAAATTCATGTTTGTGTCCACAGTGTCACTGGAATGTGGCCACGCCCACTCATATACACAGTGCGGTTGTGTACCGTTACAGCAGCAGTCGTTGTGACAGACACTGCCCGTCTGCAAAGCCTGAAATATTTACTATCTGGCCCTGTACAAGAAACGTTCATCAACCCCCGGCCTCTGCCATCTTACCTGGAGGGAGAAAGGAATGTGCCGCCCGCTGGCCACAAGGTGTCAGCATTTCACAGCAGTGGATTCAACCCTGTGAGCTCCTCTGGGAAACCACAGCTGGAAGCGGGCACCGGAGCTCCTCCCAGTCCCGCTGGGTCCCGCAAGGAGCGTGCGGAACTGGTTTGAGAAGCCCAGTGGCTTGGTGCAGGTTGGCAGGCTTTTCTAGATATGTATGCTCTTTCTTTGTTTTTGGTTTAATTTGTATTTTATATATGAGAGATTCTCCAAACAAACTAAAATAGTTAATTTTACCCAAAACTGTAAATCAAGAACAGCTGTGGGACTTTTGCACAGCCAGGTAGGACTGTGGCCCTCTTCCACACCTGGAACCAACAAACCCACGGAGCCAAGGTGGGGACCGGTGCGCAAGAGGCAGTGCGGCTCATACGTGGCACCTCTGGCCGGTTTTCTCTATCTCCTCTCAAAACTTGGTCCTGGAAACTTTCTCCAGGTGGACAGCCATGGAGCCCTGGGTGCCAACTACTCAACGTGAAGGTGGGAAGTATACAGGGAGGGAGCAAGGAGGAGAAACCAGGAGAGACTGTCCCAAGAGGGAAATGATAACAGCCGCCAATATGACACACCACCTGAAGCACCTCAGGTGACACAGCTCCTCCCACATGTCAGCCATGGTGCTAAGTGCTTTACTCCCAGGACTTGCCCATTCTGAAGACGGTCCTCTCATCTCTTGCCTCAGCTAAGATCACAGCAAGCAGCGTGCCCCCACCCCACCCTAAATCCACCAGTTCCCCCAGGACCTTCCTCGCTCACCATGCACCCCCAGGCCTCCTGCACAGTAAACCTCCATTGAATGAACACATGGACACTAACTACTGTGGTGAAGTGCCTTTCCTGGTCTAATCCCTGCACTTCCAGGAAGAGATGAACCCGGGAGTCCACACTGCATTCAGGAAGTGAGAATCACAAGACACAGTTCTTGGTTCTTAGCACGGGATGGGCTCTCTCCCTTGCTGGTACCCAGAGGACCATGGCCTCTGTGGCCACACTGCCTGTTCTTGCCTTTTCCCCCTCCAGGCTTTTCACTCACTTGCTGGCTTCTGTGGCAGGTCCTAGCCAGTCTCTGATGACGTGACACCTGTCCCTGGAGAAGCTTTTTGGAGGCTGCAGACAATGCCTAACTCCTAGCCACCTTTCTATTGAAAACTTGCCTCCAGCTGGCTGTCACTTGGAGAGGCCACATGACAGTGCTCTAGGAGGGTCTGGACAATCAGATTCTAGTCCTTCCCATAACTTGTTGGTGACCTTGGACAAATTTCTTCACTTCAAGGCCTATCCCTTCCTCCCATGCTTTTGTGTTAGTGTTTTGAACGGAAGTGTGCAGATGGGGTCTTCCCTGAGCAGCCTGGAGCCCTGGGCCCACCCATCCTGGAGCGATGGGAGATGAAGACGGTCCCCCAAGGACACACAATGAAAGAAGGAGCTTTCCCAGAGGAATGGGTTGGGTCAGGAAGGACTTTTGATAAACCCAGTGCTTACAAAATTAAAGAGCAGAGAGCAGAATCCTGTTCGGCTTCCAGGTAGTCTCAGAAGTCAAGAACAAGACGGAAAGGGTCCTGATCGATTCTGGAGGCCCGGACACCCCCTACATTGATCAGCCTGGTCTATTCTCTCTATCAAGTGACTGTCAAGTTTTTAATCATTTAACAACTAGGTGTTAGGCAGATACAGGCCTGCAGGCTCAGGAGCCCCAAGGACAGAACGGGTACGTACTGTGCCATTGGCAGCACATGCTGCCAGAGTGGGTACCAGGAAGCAGGGCCTTCCTCGATTCATAGCTGAAAAGGCAAAGGTTCGCAGGGGAGGTGAGAAGTTCAGGGCATCCTAACTTTTCTAGGCCTTCTGGCTGATACAGCGACTTCTCAGCCTCAGAACACTCTCCGCCTGCACCTGCCACCTCTCAACCTTAAGGTGCGCGTCCTTGCAAACCTTGTTCTGGTTCAGCTCGCTGAGCCCCGGGCGCTTGCTCCGCACCAAAGCTCCCGCCACTGAGACAGCAGTGCAGATGATCACGGTGACAGCCGCTGGGTCCTCCAGGCAGGGAGGCTGACTGGTGCACAGCCAGATGACAAACTGTAAGCACAGTGCACGGTGGGGCTAATTAGCTGCTGAGGGGCCTTTGTGGGTGTTCGCTCAGAGTGTGGTCCTGCTGCTCCAGGTAGCAGCTCCCACCTGGCCCGACCTGAGGAGCATGGAAGACTCTCTGCCGTCGGCTCTGGCTGCCTTCTGAGGTGGGGAACGCTGCTGGGCACACACAGGTATGTCCAAGGATGTTTTCCACGCAGGACTGAACTGAGACTGAAGGAAGGGGACAGATTGGGAGGAAATGCGATAGAGCGCTGAGTGGAGTAAGGCAAGATGCGTGTTCGTAAACACACCTGTTCTGGGGGGTGGGGGTGAGGACCAGGCGGTGCAGAGCTGACAAGGTAACTGGGACAGAGATGGAAGGTGCTGTTGTGTCAGTCACAGAAAGCACAGCCTCGGACAGGCCGGCCGGCCGGCCCTCGGGGCCAAAGCACTGTTTTAGGGGGATGTACGTGAAAGCACTCTGGGAAAGCACGCTGCAAAGCAGAGTCCTCCTTCTCCGCTGGAGTGACTGACCTCTCCCCTTCACCCCGGAGGACATCTGACGTCTGCAGACATTTTTCCAAAGCATTAAGTACAGTAACTGGCAATAGTTGGTGCTCAAAATTAAAAAGGAAAAAGCAGCATAGTAAAAGGGGGGAGAAAAAAAGCCCATTCCCCCTCTGGCCTGTTTTTTCCACATCTCAAGGCTGCCTTTTTGTCTAGACTTTCTACTAGGTTCTGCACAGACAGAGGCCCACGGTGTTAGCAGAGGCTGTTCTGAAAGCACCTTTGAAGGATCAGGGCTAGGACCAACCACACCTGAGGACAGACACCTGGCAAGAGACTGGGAAGTTCTGCCAAATCTCAAGGGGAAGCCTCCAGCGCCATGCAGGAGTCCCATGCTTCCTGTCCCCGTGGGGCAGGATCCAGGGTGGCGGCAGCCCCAGGGACTCAGCCCTCGGGCGCCTCTGCTCCGAGGAAGTCAGCCTTCCCAAGCAGCCACACCAGCTGTGCACACTCAGCCTGCAGACGCCAGACCCAGAAAGCGGGCAGCTTGCTCACGGTGGTGGGACGGGGGCAGCGAAGCCAGCCCCGCACCGAGCGCTCTCATCCCTGTTCCTCCCCAGCCCTTCTGCCACTCCCAGCCCTGTGCAAGCTGCTGCCGAGGAACCAAGGGCATGATCCACCCTTGAACTTGCAATCCAACTGGGAAGGCCAGATGTACCCTTGAGATTTGATGAGGGAATATTTCGAGAAGGGAGTGCAAGTGCTGGAACAGAGGGCAGACGCGCTAAGGACTGAGGAGGCGAGAAGCGGAACAGAGTGGGCGTGTGCTTGGGCAGACAAAGGAACCCTAGGAGCTGCATGTTAGGACTTCAGGATCCCTGGCAATCTCTGGACTACCGTCTCTTCACAGGCACCTCAGGGATGGAGGGAGCCCGAGGCCGTCTTGTCCAAACCCCAGTAAAGGGAGGAGGAGACTAGGACCGCGGCGGGAGGGGCCTCCCAGGCCAGCCCTCTTTCTCCTTCCACTGTGCTCACCTCCACCCTCTGTTCCTAAGAAGGAAGTGAGATGACCCCACCTTGGCACACGGAGAAACTGGGCCAGGGAGGAGGCTTGGCTCAAGGCTGCAGTGACGTGGAACTTCCAATCTGGACCCTCCTCCATGTCAGGACAGGGAGGGACCTGGGCCTGCTCTGGGGCAGGCGGAGGGGAGAGGGACAGAGGCTGCTTGTCTCGCAGAAGACGCACCAGAAGCCCTCGCACCAGAATCGCTCGGGAGCTGGCTCCTCCCTGGCCTCCTCCCACGTCCCCAGAGAGGTCCCCTCTCCTCATTGATGGTGATCTCCTTCCCCCATTGCAATTCACCCGCCTTGTGTTCCGCACTGTCTAGGTGACTGCTTGTGCTGAGGTGCAGCGCCACCACATCCCCCAGTTTTCCATCTCTCCCTCCCTTCCCTTCCAGAATAAGCATGTGCCACATTGCCAGGCCTTGGTGCATAAGGAAGCACTTCCCAGAAAGTGTTTAATCCTCACAAAAGCTCAGGGAGGTGGGTCAGGGTCTAACCTCAGGATGAACAGAGGAGCCCTGGGAACCAGGATCATCCGCCTCCCCCCCACCCCCACCTCCACCAGGTTCTTCTCCAACGACCGCACTGTGCTGTCCATTTCCTGCTCCTCAAAGGACCTCTGGTTCACCTCAGTGCAGCCACACCCCCCCCACACCAGCCTCCTGCCAACACCTAGGCCCCTCCCCCCGGTGCTGCTGGTGCCCCAGGATTTTGCAGAAGGAAGGACACAGGACAAGTGTTTGGTTCAAAAGTGAGGCTGAGCGGCCAAGCAGCCTGGTGCTTTCACGGGTTCACGGCAGTGGCTCCGACCCCCAGCACTCCCCCAGGGGCCCTGCTCGCAGAGCCTGCAAGTCAGCGGCTTCTCTGGTGTGCATTCACAAACTCTCTCCTCGGACACCCCAGTCACCCCAGTGGGGAGGGAGCAGTGTATGATTTAGGCAGATCTCTGGCCTGGCGCTGTGGCCTTAGGCCCGTTGGAGAGGCTGAGGGCCCTAAACACAGCCTGACTTTTGGCAGGGGGCTAAGGCTGGTCTTTGGCTAAAATGTAACTAGAGAAGGGACCTGAGTCCTGTCTGGTGAAGGGGATCATGGACCACCTCAGGTGGGGGATGGGGGTGGGGAGGGCAAGTGCTGCTGTCCAGCGGGCCCAGCCTCCCACACCACGGAAACCCACTCCTTGGCCAAGCTCTCTCCCGGCCTTGGGCTGCAAATCCAGGCACGTTAAGCGGAGGGAACGACCCCAGGGAAAGGCACAAAGAGAAACCGGTAATGGCTTGCAGCAGGGCAACAGCCAAGGAGGCCTGGACCCCCGGGGCAGAGAGTGCCCAGATAGGGCAGAGGGAGGGGAAGGAAGGAGACCTCAGGACAAGGGCTAGTCAACAGTGTCAAGTTCTCCCACCGTCTCCCAGTGAGAGAGCTTCCCCTCGATCCAATCCATTCCGAGTCTAGCGCAGGAGTCTGTTGGCACCAACCGAAGGCCCCAGGAGCCAGTGACCTGGCTGACCTAGCATCTTCTACATTCAGTTCAGAGGCTAGAGCAAGACTCGGTCCCTGGCTCAAAGCCCTGTCTTCTTCCCTTTTATTCCACCAAACCTGGGGGCGGGGGGGATGGGGGTGGGCAGAAACACCAGGAAGCCCAGGGAAGGAGAAGTCAGGGGGCCGGGGCTGCCCTGGAGACCCTGTCACACTAAGGCATTCGGATACGGGCTCACCCCATCTGGGGCCCTGCAGGGCGAGGCTGGACCAGTGAGAGAAGGGGGTCAGGCATAAAAGAGAGTGGACACTAGTCAAGCTTCCACTTCATGTAAACAAGGAGGAGCGGCCCCTGCCCAGCCGCCGACAGTCTTGCGGAGGCGTATGGCTGCCTTGAGACGCGGCAACCCCTCACATCTGGGATTCAGGGTCCTTGAGGCCAGGATGGAGGCTGCTGGGCAGGAGGACAGTGGGGGTCCGATGTGCAAACTGGTGCAGAGTTTCACCTGTGTTCTCCACAGGACAGGACAGCGGGGCATCCACAGGTCCTGCCACCACTGGCCCGAGGCTCAGGAAATCACGCAGTTGCTGTTCTTGGCAGGACTGGGACTTGTTTTACCTGCAGAGACAAGGGACACAGGCGGGGAAGGATGTAAGCGACGTGCTCAGTGGACTTGCCTCCAGCCCCTGTCCTGCGCATGCGCACTGCCCACACCTCGATGGCGGGGACCACAGGCTCGGGGAGGCGGTTTTCACGTGCAGGGTGGAGGGAACACATCTCATGGAAAGGAAGGGGAGAGAGGGCTACGTTCCTGCAGGCCAGAGCAGCCCAGGTCTCCTCTTCCCAGGCCCCTTCCATACAGTCCCACTTTTTTATAATCCCCAGCAAAGGTTGGAGACTTCTTTGGCTTGATTCCTGCTCTTGAGGCCGACGCTGACACCTCCGGGCCTGCCTGCTGTCCACATTCTCCTGGCGCGCACGCTGGCTGTGTCTCCCCCAGGTGGAAGCTCTGAGCTACGTCCTGCCAGCTCCTCTCTGCACCGCAAGGGCCGGGCCGGCTCCCTGGCGCTCACTCCACGTTCCCACATCACTTCAACTGTGAATTTCATTAAGGTGGCGCTGCCTCTCCTCCTGGGCCACGAGCAAGAGAGACACCGAACAGGCCCGAGCAGGATCCCTCCCCGCTGCCCTGCTCCATTTAGCCACTCCTCGGGACTTTCTCCAAGTCCAGCTGAGCTCCTTGGAGACTGTGCTGACAGCGTTTAGAGCCTAGAGGGGGTGGGAGGGGAGCCGATGGCTGTGCCCCCTCCCTCCCCAAGGGCTCCCAGGGTCCAGAAGCTCAGCCATCTTCCCTGGCGGTGCAGAGGCTGCCCGGGTCCCCTCGCTGCTGCAATGGACATGTCGTCCCCACTTCCTCTCCTCAGGGGCTCCTTTTATTTGCTTGGCCTGCTGAGCAGACACCAAGCTCCTCCATGGAGGCAGCAGCCGTTTGGAGGCAGGTAAACGAAACTAGCTCTAGATCGGGAGTGGGACAGGCAGGGGTGCGGAGCAGCCGACCTCCCAAGCCTGCACGGCCTGGAGGGCAGGAATGCCCACCCTCGTGCTTGTTTGATGAGGCTGGATGAAAGCCTGGGGAGACCCTTTACACCCGGAACTCGTCTTCACACCACAGACAGACAAGCCATTTCAGGGAAAAGTCTTTGTGCTCCATCGTTCCTTTGGTGCACGGGGAGGGGGAGCCCATCACACGCACGTGTTCGGCCAGGCTCTGGGGAGAATCAGACCTGCCCCAGTGACCAGGGAAGAATCCAGGAACAGCCAACAGTTTTTGCAAACTATCTGTAGCATGGATGCCCGGAGGAGGCTTATGAGAGAAAGGCACACTTCAAAGGGAGGTCACGGTGGAGTGAGCCTGAAATTGCGGTGGGAAGTAGGAGTCAGCGAGAAGGAAGGGCTGGAGGGGGCACATGGCCTGGGGGAGGGAAGGAGGGAGGGAGGTGGGGACACTGATATGGGTACTGGACCAGGACAAGTAGCTCTACCTTTCTTCAGGTTTCAGGGCTGCACCTTTGCCTTTTCTGGAATATTCTTCCCCTGGAAGTCCAACTGGCTCTCTCCCTCCCTCCCTCCATTCAAGTCTCTGCTCAAATGCCCCTTTGTCAGAGGCCTTTCTGATCACCCTTTGTCAAAGGGTCATTGCCCTCCCCACCCTCTCTCTGCAGTGTGGGGTTCACTCTCCATAAGGGCAGGGACTTGCTTGTGTTCACTGCTGCGTCAGGAGCTTAGAACAGTGCCTGGTGCAGAGCAGACTTTGCGTAGATATACATTTGTTGAGTTAAATGAATGATCAGGCAGTGGCAAGCTACTGGAGGTTTATACCGACACGAACAATAGCAAGTGCAATCTCGGTGTCAACAGAGGGTGACATATGTGCCCTCACTCACCTAGATGGCGACGCAAGCCCCGGCTAGGCCTAAGAGCAACCAGAATGGCAGGGGGGTTGTGACACCTGCCAATGACAATAAGGACACCTGCCTCTCTCCGAGAGCTGGTGGGGTGAGTTCCTCGAAGGAGGCTCCCTCGGCTCCCCAACCTGTGCTGTGCGCCCTGGACCCTGGCTCAGACTTAGAACCCGGGACTACAGCTGGAGTCAGGACCCACACTCCTCAGGACTGACCGTGAATTTTGAAATTCTGCTTTGACAAGAAAGCTTGAGTCAACTTAGCCAGGAACTGGGGGCCCACAGGTCCCTTGTGGAACTCTGAACCTCAGAAGCACACCCCCAACCTTCCGTCCCAGATGGGAGAGAGATATGAGACCTCCAGCCCCCAGGGATGACAGAGGTGAGCCCGGAGTCCCCAAATCCAGGAGCCTAGCAGCCACATCGCCAGAAGCCAGGCCACACTGCCAGCCAGGTTGTCCCGTCCACGCCTGAATCCAAGGGGAACCCAAGAGAGTTCGGGAAAGGGAGCTGCCACTGGAGCTACCTCGAAGAACACAGGGAAGAAAAACGTGGGCCTGGAGGACCTGGGAAGGTAGTGGCCCAGGGGTCAGCGGAGCGGACCACTCTCCTCTTCCTCTGCTGGGGGGATGCCAGGGGAGAGGGGATCACTAACTAGTCAGGCTTCTGGCCCTTCCAGTCTCTGAAGACGCAGGGAAATGCTGCCAGCCCCAACCCTCCGGCACAGGCTCCATGCTTCACGCAGGGCCCTGGGGGCGGGGCGGGGCGGGGCAGGAGGCCAGGCCGACCTTTTCTCACTCTGGGACCGTGGTGGACGCAGGGCTCGCCTCCTGTCTGCGAAGTGGCGTCACCAGGCAGGGTGCGTGTGAGTTCGGTGGGTGCAGAAGCACTTCGCACCGCGTCCGCCCAGCACAGGTGCTCAGCGCCAGTCTGCGCCTTTCCTGCCTCTCGCAACCGTGCCCAAGCGTGTTGGCCATTGCTCAGTGATTGCCCTGGGGGAGCTGGGAGGGGCTTCAGGATGTCACCCGGAACCTCCTTCCCCAGCCTGGCAGCCCCGAGTCACAGTAATCTGCTGCTCTGGGGACCCTCCACACGGGAAACACTCAGGGTGCTTGTTTAAAACTCAGATCCCTGGGCCCGGCCCAGCGCTACAGAGCCCTCCCTGCGTTTTAACAAGGCTCTTCGGGGACCACCGTTCCCTGAGGAAGGGAGCTCTACTCCGGAGGGCAGGTCTGGCGCTCCCTGATGGACTCTCCGCCAAGGTGCAAAGGTGCAGAGTGCACCCGGGGCCCGGAGCAAGTTCTCGGCGGCGGAGGGAAAAACCGGAAGGAAAAGGTGCTCGGCTTCCACCAGTAGAGGGGGCTGTGGGCCTTCATACCATCAGGGAGCACCACCCACTCCACCCCGCCCGCCCCCCACCCTCGCAATCCCAAACCTAAGGAAGGGATTGCTGAAGGTCCTCCCAAAGACCACACTTGGGTTTACGGCGTTTGCAGGTTTCACAGCTATGCACTTCTTACCACGCAATTTTACAGGCTGTCCGCGCTCAGCTTTTCTGTTTCTCTCTCACCTGGCCTGTCACCAGCCCATGCTCTCCCCCTTGCCAAGAGGGCAGCAGAGACGGGGAGGGCAGGGTCAGAATCAGAGTTCAAAGGGACCTTGGGATCCCTCCCTGGCTCACCCCCTCTCTTCTGGACCAGGAAATGGCCCTGGGTTGGGGGGTGAAAGGGTGTGTCCCGCAGGTGGGGAGCAAGAGCCCGTCTCTACATGGGGGCCCTCAGGTGGCAGCAAAGTGATTTCCTCCCAGCTGACAACTGCAAGTGCGCCAGGATTACTAGTGCCAGCCCTTGCGCGTGCGTGCGTGCATGCGTGTGTGTGCGTGTGTGTGTGTGTGTGTGTGTGTTGGTGGGGGCGGTCCCCGTGCTGTCAGGGGCCTGGCCCTCTGGCACACAGAGTCCTAGTGATGTAGCTCCCCGGGGACTGAGAGGAGACACTAAGACAGCCCAGCCGGAGGAGAGGAGTTCCTGCTTCTTGCTCTGCCTTTGAGGGAAGAAAGCAGCAGGGAGGGAGAGGAAAGGTCTCGTTAGGGACTGGAACGTCAGGCCCTCGGGCAGTGGGTGCTCGCTCGGGTGGGCAGATGCTGTGCCGGACAAGGCCGCTCTGTGTTTCTTCTAAGGAATGAAGAGGGACAGTGGGATCTCGTTGGGCACGCCGTTATGTGACTCTGGAGTTTGCTGTCCTCTCCCCCTCTTTTCTCGCTCTCTCTCTGAGTGTCGCACTCTCCCCGGTGGCAGGCCCTCGGGAGTCCAGGGCACAGTCCAGGTCTGCTTGGCTGGCTGCCGAGCACCACGCGAGTGGTGCGGCTGAGCAGGGACCGTCCAAGTCATCCGAGCAGGGAGCCGGACGCTGAGAGACGCGTGAAAGGCAGCGAGAAGGGACAAGACAATGGACCTTTCGTTTCTATGGAAACAGCATCTCAGGGTGAGGGGCTGAAGGAGGAAAAAGCTTCCACTTCACCTCCATCAGGACTTGAGAAATGGCCCCTTTTGTGGTTGGGCTTGCCCCTCCCCCTCCCTTCCCTGCCAGGTGTTCACCATGGCAACCCTGCCTCCAAAAAGAGGTGCAAAGCAGCCGCAGCATCTGGTGCTGGGGGAGCCAGGGAACCCAGGGGAGATGGGACTGGGCTGGTCACCCCTTGTCCTGATAGGACACAGGCCCTCGCCTGGTGTGAGTCCTCACCCCAGTACTATGTACTGACGTACTGACGTACTGTGCCTGGGGACCCCTAAATTCACCTGTCCAAGCCTCCATCTGCCACCACTGAGGCTGTTGTGAGGGCCAAGTGAAAGAGAAAGCTCCTAGTGAAGGAGCTCAATAAACGCTTCTTGGCCCAACAGTGGCATAGCACTGGTGCGGTGCTGTGCCCACATCCACCGAGACCCCCAAGCCTGCCCTAACTGTAAGAAGCACAGAGTACGTCAGGCTCTGTAGCGGGGCTGTGGAGTGAGCGGAGGGGAAGGAAATTAAGATTCTTGCACTCAGGCCGCTCCCTATCGGGTCAAAGCTGGGGCTGTGGGTGACGTGGGAGTCCTGGAAGGGCTCAGGTTGCTCGGGGAACGACCTCAGGGCCTGCCGTCACTACCCGGCTGGCCATGGAGCCCGGGCCCACCGCAGCGAGGCCCCACAGCCACAGAGGGAGAGATCCCCCCCCCCCGCCACATGGAAACCTTCCAGACTCGGAGATGATGCTGACATGAGAAAAGGTGCCAGCGGTAGTCCTGGCTGTCGCCGCCAGCCTCTGGAAAAGCTACCCTGGAAACTGCTCTGGAGAGAGAGAGAGAGAGAGAGAAAGGCCAGGACCTCTAGGGGATCCCTGAGAAACAGCCAGAAAAATATCACTATCAGGAACAATCTCTCCCGGAGGTAAGCAGCAAGGCAAACACACTTATCAAATAAACACAGGGAGGAGCCACGGCACACCATTTACAAGAGGAACAAGGAAAGCGGGTCAGAGCGTCGGTGGGGCCCAGGTGAGGGTGGGGTGTGTTTGACCAGGTCGGATCCTGAGGACAAGGAACAAGCTTTGCTAGATGGAGCCCTAGGCTCGGAGGCAGGGTGAGTCCTTAGCCCTGCTGCTCAGCTGGGCGGGGCCTCTGTGGCTTCATTTACAAAGGAGAGACTTTCCAAGCTTCTAGGCCAGACCCGTTCATGCCCAGCACGGCCCTGGCACCTCGTATCCTCAGAACAGCTGGGCAAGGCGAGCGTCACTCTCCTCTTCCAGGGAAGAGGGGACAGAAACTCGGACCTGCAGGGGCTGGCCCAAAGCCGCGAGGTAGATGAAAGCAGGAGCAGCGTGGGCAGCGAGGACCGTCTGACCCCTGACCTCGGATCTCTCCACGCCAGCACTCGGCCTGTCTGCAGCTGCGAGGCAAAGCTCCTCGGGAAGGGCAGAGCGGGGCGCCCTGGCCCGAGCTGGGGGGGGGCTCACCTGAGGCGCTGGTACTGCAGCTGTCACTGGGCCTCTTTCCCATCACAAGCTCCGCTTCGGGGAAGGTCTCGGTGGACAGGGAGCTGGACATGCCGTTGGGGGCCGCAGGCCTCTTGGCCCGGCGACTGAAGAGCCTGCGGCTCAAGCCCTTGCCCGCCTTGGCTGGGGTGGCCTCCCCGTTGGCAGCTTCTCCCTTGCCGTTTTGGGCGAGCTCCCCCCGGGGTCTGAGGTCCATGTGCGGGTGAGAGACCGCCCTGCCATCCTTCGGACGCAGCTCTCCCGCGGGGACGGGCTCCACGGGGGGCAGCACCTGCTCCAGCGTGACCAAGTCGTTCAGGAAGGTCTCCAGCCGCCGGGCCGACTCGCCCCTGCTGCCCTCCTCCTGCCCCTCGGGGTTGGCGCCGGCCTCCCGCTGCCGCTGGGTGGCCCAGCGCATCATCTCCCCCGGCGGGTGGCGGCTGCCGGACACCAGGGCGTACTTGGGGTTGATCAGTTTGCGGGCCACAGTGGAGGTGAGGCCGGCCCTGCCTGCCCCTCCGGCCAGGCCCAGCAGCCGGTACAAGTTCACCTCCTCGGAGATGGCGTACAGTTCCCGGAACTCCTGGTCGAAGGGCTCCACGTTCTGCCCCGTCAGGAGGAGGAGAAGGTTCCTGTCCGTGTAGGAGGAACTCCAGGTGAACCTGCGAATGCGGGGGCAGAAAAGTAAGGCTCGGGTGCCAGGCCAGCGACCTCGCCGCGCCAGCAGCCCCCGGGCAAGCCCATCTCAACGCCCCGCTGTCCCCATGCCAGCCTGGCCTACCACTGAGGCGGGATGCCTCACTACCTGGCGGAAGGCACCGCTGGGCCTTTTCGTCGGGGTGCTGTCCCTCCACTGACCCAACCCCCGCTCTTCTCCAGGTCTTGGCCTCAACTGCAGAGAGCAGGCGGTGGGTGCCGGGCAGGGTCATGGGAGGCCAGGCCTGGGTTCAAGCCCGGTTTCCACCCTGCGTGCCTCGTGCAGGGGGCTCCCAGGCGCACAGGCACAGAGCTGCGGCGAGGCTCGAGGGAGGTTAACACGTGTAATAAGATACTCGGCTCAGGAGCTGGCACAATGCACACACTTCACAAGTAGCCACTGCAGCTGCTGCTATTACTCATAGCATCCCATTCCTTACTGCTTCTGGGCTGAATTTTTAGAGCACAGAGTGTCTGCAAAACCCCATGTTTTAGGCAGGTAAGAGGACTTAATAAGTCGTTTACAGCTGTGTCAGGTGCCCAGGTCTGTTTTCTGCACCTAGATTTTCACTGACGGGGAGGGAGGACACCCGCTCAGATACAGCCTCTCGTGTTCCTGGAAATTTACTTCTGAGTCGGAATCTGGGAGGCATTCCTTCCACGCTACACCCTCATAGTTCTTTCTCAGATCGGGTCCATTCTGCTTCCCGCTCGTCCCGCCTAACGGCTAGCCTCAAAGTGCAACCCTGTGCCCTGACCCGTGTGGCTCCGTCGGCTGAGCTTCGTCCTGCAAACCAAAAGGTGCCGGTTCAATTCCCAGTCAGGGCGTGAGCTCAGGTTGCAGGTTTCTGGTCAGAGCGTGTACAGAAGGCAGCCTGTCGATGTTTCTTTCTCAAATCAATGTTTCTCTCTCTCTTTCTCCCTCCCTTCCCTTCTCAAGTCAAACATAAAATAAAATAAAATAAAATAAACCCAACTATTTGCTGTGGACCATGAAAAGCAGGTGCTTAATGTTCAGCAAGAATTGACCCTCTCTCTGGAATAATCCAGTGGCCACAAAGTTTGAGGGAAGGGACTGGGCAGGAGGCTCCTCTTTGCCATTGGGCCAGACAACCCCTCTTAAACCCATGACCACAGAGATCCCAGCGTTTCCCTGAATGTGGACATTTCCCACAATGAGTAAAAGCCTCGCAGGCCCTTCTCTGACCTGGCCCTGCTCACCTGTAAGACCCCGTGGCTACTTTCTCACCGTCCACCATTAAGAACTTGGATGACAAGGTCCCCTTGATCTTCCCCATGGGCATGCAGAAGCCAACGCCTGTCACGGAACGGACACGGATGTTCTGTTGAGAAGAGAAGAAAGGTACTGTCACCCAGGTTGGGGCCTGCGAGGCTCTGAGCCAGGTCTTTGCCGGGGCCGGGAAGGAGCCCTCTTGTCCCCGGGACCCTGCCTGCTGGCTCCTGTCTGCACTAAGCTCTGCTTTCCTTGCAGGTGGGGCCCCATTAAGGGCACAGGAGGAAGTCAGCAAATCTTGCTTTGGGAGTGGATAAGCTCAGGGTGGCTCCTGCCTGTTCCCAAAGCTCCCCAGAAGAGAAACACAGCCCTAGCTTTGACCTTGCACTGCAGGCTGACCACCCTAGGACTGGGCCAGATCCGCCTCCTTAGCCTCAGTAGCACTGTATGCAATTTAGGGTTATCAGTGCAGGAGACAAGGGTTCCGACAGAAGCGGTTGAGACCTTGATGTTCACCTGAGGCCCTGAGCTGGAGAAGAGGCAGAGAAAGGGGCAGGGGCGGCCTCTGTCTCAACTCCCGCCCCCCGCAAACCCCCACAGAGGTACAACTCACCCGAATGCGGAAGTCGGCAAGCTCCAGGCCCTGACACATCTCCAGGAAACACTTCACGCCCGCCTCGTCGAGGATGATGTACACGGGGACCCGGCGCTTAAAGGCAGCATCCACAATGTCTTGGAAGATATCGCCATCTGTGAAGAGGTCCATGACCACAGCGATGACCTGGGTGGGGAAGGGCACTGGTGAGGCACGTGGTGACTACATACTCGACAGGCACACACCTTGGCCCAGAGGGGACCAGCTGGGCCCGGGGTAGCTGGTGGCCAAGAGCCGAAAGCCCCATCTGCACCTCTCCTGGGTTCTTCTGCACATCCTCACCCAGGTGGGGGGAGCACATCTGAGCCCAGGGGATGGGCCTTCTGCTCTGGGAAACGCCCGAGGGTGCGGGCCATCCCTGACAAACCCCACCACTCCACCCGAAGGATTCTCCGGCAGCTGTTCAGGAGCCGTATCGGGAGAGAGCTAGAGGCTGCGGACAGCTGCTCGGGCGCCCCACGGAGAAAAGCAGGCCCAGGAAGCTGCGATCACCGGGAGGCACGGAATGAATAGACTGGTCCCCACAGGCTGCAGATCTGCTCCCGCGCCACCTTCTCTGCACACGCGCTTTGCTCGCCCTCTGCACACGCGCTTTGCAGCCTCCCTGAGGGCAGAGCTGAGGGAGAAGCCCTTTGCTTCCCCAAGGGCCCATCTGGGCAGCGTTCCAGTGAGCTTGAACTCCCCTGGCCTCCAGGTGTCCAGACCATCCCACTCCATCCTCAAATCAAAGTCACTGCCTAGGAACCTTGATTTCCAAAGGTCAGCCTTAATTATCCACGCTGGAAAGTGAGATCAGCCTTTCTGACCTTAGCTTCCTCCATTTTCCCACACAACCCCCCACCCGCAGGGCCCGGCTCCAGTGCAAGGGTTTTCTCGTTGGCCCCGAGCACTATGCACTGTGCACGAGACACAGAAGAAAGGGCAGGCCTTGGAGTCAGAGAGATCTGGTGATGTGACCTTTCCACTTTTGTGACCTTAGGCAAGTCACTTAATCTTGATGAGCCGCCTTATCTGCAAAGCGGAATGTCCAGCACTTTCACCATTAAGATCACAGATAAAGTCTGTGAAGCATCCAACACAGCGGGCCCCGGACTGGTGTGAGTCCTCCATAACTGGTGGCTGCTGTGCGCCTGAGGCATCTGCTAGCCCTTGGAACTGAAAGCCTGAACTCTGAAGCCAGACAGACCAGGCCTGGGACCAGCTCACTGCTGACTTGTCAGAGCCCTTGCTTCCTTGGCAGCAAGATGGAGCTGGTAGCAGCACCTCTCTCAAAGGGCTGTCATGAGGGCTTAGACAGATAAACTGTGAAAGCACTTACCACAGTGCCCGGCACGTGGTAGACTCAGTATGCGGTACCTGCCATGCCATCACCATCATTTTCATCACCAACCTCACACATGCGCCTTACCACGACTCCTGCCTCCAAAGAACCACCCCCAACACCATTTACACACTGCTATTTAAGGTTCTTCTTAGCTCCGACATTTAACACTCAATCATTTATACAAATAACGTTCACTGAGCTGCCCCGTCCGAAGGAGGATCTAAAGACGAGCTACAATCCCTAATGTTAAGGGATTAGTCCAGTTGGAACAATAGGCACTTGCACAAAATAAATAAGACATAAGTTAAAATGAAATAAATGCCTTTAAGAGATGCACAAATGGCATGTGCTGTGAATTCGGGGTGGGGGGTGGGGCGAGGAGAAGGACGGACGGAGGGAGAGAGATCGATAGATCAACTGCTCTCAGCAAGGGGAGTACAAGAGAGGCTGCAGTGAGGGAGCTGACCCCCGGGGAACGGGCAGCCTGGGGCTCCATGAGGAGTGAGCGGAGAGGGGGCAGGCCAGCGGGCAGGGCTGCCACGCCAGGGTGCGCAGGCTGCGCGCTGCACGCGGCACTGGGCCGAGGGGGTGAGTGGAAACTGCGCCTGCCTGAGGAAGGGACGCCCTTTCTAACCCGCACGCAGGTGCCGCGTGGGCCGGCGGGCACTGCGGAGGTGGGCATTTCAGGCAAAGAAAACGGCAAGGAGGCCCCGAGGACAGGCATTACCACGCACTGAACACTTTTAATGTGCCTCCCATTGTTCCAGGGGCCGTAGGAAAACTTCCTAATTTGATCCTCACAACGAGGATTGTCATTCCCATTTTACAGATGAGGATGTAAATACGAAGGGGCAAAGTAATGTGGCCAAGGTCACACAACATATAGCAGAACAGGGACTGGAGCTCAGGTCTGACCGACTCCACAATCTTCATTTCACTGTATCGTCCTGGCTCACAGAGATGGGACAGCTGTAGCATAAAACAAAACAAAACAAAAACAAAAAACAAACCAAAAAGCCCTTAAAAAAACTGACTTTTTAAAACCACTAAACAAGAGAGACAAACTTCTAGCAAGACTGACAAAAACAGAGGATGTGCAAATAAAATATTGAGTGAAAAAAGAGAAATAGCTATAGACATATTTACTTTTTAAGAAATTCTTACTTTTCAGAAATAGTAAAAATGGTAAAAAGTATTTATACATTGATGAATTTGAAAATAAAAATGACATGGATAGTCATTATAAGTGAATTAAACATAATACAGCATAATCAAGTACAGTTTATTCTAGGAATGTAAGAATGGTTTAATATCAGAAGATGTATCATTTTAATTTATAACATTTATGGTGTCAAGGAGAGAAAAATTATACATTGTCTTCATAAGTTTTAAAAAGTATTTGATAACACTACATCTCTATTTATGATTAAAATTCTCAAAAAACTAGGACTAGAAGGGACCTTAACAGAGAAACTTGAGATGCAATCCCTTTAAGTATCAAGCAAGTCAAAAGCACTATCATCACTACTATTTAACAAAATATTGGAAGTCCTAACCAATGCAATATGATAAGAAAAGAAATAAGAACTAGAAGGATTAGAAGAGACAAAACTACCAGTATTTAGAGATGATACTTTTATAGAAAACCCAGTATAATGCTGGAAAAAACTATTAAAATTAATAGGAGACTTCAGTAAGATAGCCAGATACAAGAAAAACTTACAAAAACCAACAGCATTCTACTACTAGAGAAAATCAACTGAAAAAGAAAGAAAGAAAATAGATCCATTCAAAACTGCTACTTAAGCACATAGTATTTAGGAATTAGAACCTTTATGGAGAAATGTATTAAACTCTATTAAAACACCTTTTCAAATAAGTGAATAAAAGACAAGACAAATGATGTGCCTGGTGAATACGAGTCGACATTTTAAAAGTCCAGTTCTCCCATATTTATCAAATCCAATGCAATTTCAATCAAAGTTCAGTAAATATTTCTGAGGAACCCAAACACTTCTAAGAGGTGAGGAAGGATAAAGACTTGGAAAAAAGGAAAGTTAATTTTGAAAAAGAAAGGATAAGTTGAGTTTGAAAAAGACAAGCTAAAAAGGGACACTTGTCCTACCAGACAGTGAGACACTGTCACAGTGGTGAGAACTGTGGTGTCGAGGGGGGAAGGAGCTGGCAGACAGACTGACGGACCAGAATGGAGGGACCAGAAACATGCAGGTACCTACGCGCATGCATAAACCTTTGTCACATAGAGGGAGAACCACAACTCAGTGGAGAGAGGGTCCTGTTCAGTAGATGCTATTGGGAAAACTGGCTTACTATATGGAGAAAAATAAAGTGGATCCCTACAAAAAAGGCTACCTCATGCCATATATAAAAGTGAATTTCAGGTAGGCTAACTACCTAAACGTGAAAGAAAATTAATAAGGGAATTGGTGAACTGTAGGCAAATATCTTCATGGCATAGGTAAGAAGGATTTCTTAAGATTCCAAAAGCACAAATCTTAAGACAAATAAAATTTAAAAAGATGCATTCCACAACTTAGGCATTTTCTGTTCAAAGAATATTACAGACAAAGGTAACTGAAGGATGACAGGGAGACGGTATCTACAATGTCCACAACCGAAAGGAATTAACAATATACAAGGGATCCCTGAAAAATTTTTTTAAAAGATTAATTTTAGAGAGAGGAAGGGAAGAGGGAGAAAGGGAAACATTGATTTGTTGTTCTACTTATTTATGCATTCATTAGTTGATTCTTGCATGTGCCGTCACTGGGGATTGAACCCATGACTTTGAGGTATTGGGATGACACTCTAACCAACTGAGCTACTCAGCCAGGGCTGGGATCCCTGCAAATTGGCAAGAAAAAGACAGGACGTTAATTAGAAAAATGGGCAAAGAATATGAATCAGCCATTCCCAGAGGAGATACCTGAATGGCTAATAAGTATATAAAGAGAAGCTGACCTCATTAGCAATCAGAAAAATTCACATGAAAGCAAAGAAATGAAAGGGGACCCTCATGTACTGCTGGAGGGAGGGAAAACCGGTGCAGCTATTATTCCCTAGAGCAAGGGAGAGGTCTCAGTGAATTTAAGGATATGCGTAACTCCAGTCAGCAATGCCACTCTCGGCCCCGCACGCAGGGGACCTCTTGGATCTTTGCACAGGTCTATGAAGGGGCAGGAACAAAGACATTCGCTGCAGCTTTCTTTGGGACACGAGCAGCTGGCGATGGCTCAGATGTGAATCTCCAGAAGAATGCACACGGTCACAGCGAGGGACATACACGGCAAAGTGGCAGACGGGAGCCAGGAACTAGTTCTGCGTCCAGAACTTGAATAGTTTCCTTAAAAATGGATGGTTTGATTTAAAATGCTAGAGGATCGAGATCTCCAGCCTAATGCCATTCATGTAAGTAAAATAACACTGCATGTTTTTCCAGGATACAGACATGTCCAAGGACACGCGCTCAACACACCAAGGATGGCTGCCTACGGGCGGAGGAAGGGATGGGAGGGAAGGAGCAAGTCAAACCAGCAGGGCCCTTCCATGGGTTGAGGATGGCAGTGCAGCATGAACTGAGGTTCGCCATCAGCTCGGCGTGGGAGGTCCCAGACAAACACACACACACACACACACACACACACACACGGAAGCGAAAACAAGCAGTTGGTCTGGAACCGTTCGGGGTAGCTATGGCCGGCCAGGTTGGGCTTAATTACAGAGGTGTTTTCACAAGACACTTCAGGCTTCCTTCCATCAGAACACGGCTTCCCCACCGTCT